CTCTACTGTGGGTTAGGGTTTCGCACCACCCTCTTCCTTCTAATTTGCCCAATTCTCAATCTCTATTTCTCTCTCTATATATATATTTGTTGTGTTTGGGATTCAACTAAAATTAACTAAAAAGATTGAAAAACTAGGTTGAGGATTGAAGGCAACTACCAAGCTGAGAGAAGGGAACTGCCAAGGTGAGAGAAAGAGAATGGGGGTTGAAGGGTCAGTTGTATCTTTTCACAATATGGTTCACGGGTATTATGGTCAATTTAGCTGTCAAGTTAACGTCGTTCGTATTCTTTTAATGGAAAGAGGGAACCTGTGTATTATTTTTAAAAGTAGCGGAGATCAGTGTTATTTTTGAAACTACTAAAGAAGTTCCTGTAATTAATATAATTAAAGTAAATTTCAAGTAAATCTCAAGGAGGTCAGTGTAATTTACCTTATTTAATATGAAGAAATTTAATTTTGATTTAGACCATAGTTTTGGCATTAAAGTGAACTATAGGTTGGATCTAAATCAAATAAATTATTTAACTAATTTTGTATTATTCTACAATAAAAATAAAATATTGTTTTAGGAAATCGTACTCCTATTTTACTTTTTATTTCTTTTTCATATATTTATATACGGTAATGCTACGTCGCTCGAAATTAGCCTCTCTGAATCCCCCTAAACGACGAAACGACGTCGTTTCGTCGTTTTATTTTATTTTATTTTTTTTCAATCAGAAAATCAGAAGAGACGAAGAAGAAAAAAGAAAGTAGAGAGGAAGAAAGAAGAAGAGGAAGAAGGGAAGAAGAAGAAGAGAGGGAAGAAGGAGGAGGAAGAGGAAGAAGAGACTGGAGCTGCGACGATCCATCTCCGAGCTGCGACGATGGCGGAGCTGCGACGATCGGACGGTCGGCCGAAATGCAGGGGGGCCTCTGTGTGTGTGTGTCTCCCTCTCTCTCTCTCCCTCTCTCTCTTCCCCGTCTGTGTTTGAGCTCGAAAAGTTTCTAAAATGGAAGAAAAAAAAGAAAAAAAAAGCCTAATGCCCAAAACGACGTCGTTTTGGGCATTAAGGGAATTAGGGGAGGTAAATTTTCGAGCTACTAATCTTTATCCATTTATATATACATATTCATATTGTATTAGTATCGATACCAACAGCTGTACACATACTTTATAATAAGTTAGTAATGCTATAATAAGTTAGTAATGCGTTTATTTACCCACTGTGCATGTCAAACTAAGGAAAAGTTGTGGCTCTCCTTTAGAATCATTTGGATATATGGTGATTTGGTAAGAAATAATGAGAAAGTGATTTTTTTTTTTAATCATATTTGATTTATCAATTGACTGAGAAATTGTAAGAAATGATGAAAAATATAAAATTACTATTTTATTTCTCACCAAAAGTGATGAGATTTTGTGAGAACAACTGATTGGTTGTAAAATATTTATAATATCAAGATTGTTCTTGTATTACTCTCACATGTTTTAATTTCTCACTCATCCAAACATGATATTGAGAAAATACAATTTTTTTTCTTCTTTCACCCTCTCATCGTCCAATCCAAGGAGAATGTTAGTGTACTTTGTATTATGTTTAACAATAAATCTAGGAATACAAATACTAAACATAGAATGAAATATATATGTCTCTGTTGGCACCACATTTTATGTTTCTGTCGATTGTGGCTTATTAATTATGGTCTAGTTCGATTATGGTTTGTGAATTGAAATCATAAACTATTTTCAAAAAAATAACGTTGACCACATTTGTTTTTATTTTTATTATTATTTCTGTCGACAAATATGCTAACGTGGCATGATAGATGTGTTAAGGACGTTGTATGATGACATGTTAAATTGAGAGCTAGAAAGTTAACAATTGAGCAATTTGAAAGTTAGTTGCTAAGATCAAGAAGTCAAGATCAAATCAAACACTAAATCTGCAAAATGATTCCTATCAAAGATGAGATATGTATTATGTTGAGGAAATCATAGGCTCGTTGAGGAAATTGTGGGCTTAGGTTATCTTACAAAACATGATATTTATCTAAGAGTACTTTAACTTAGCGTTTGTTAGGAGTAGATTAGTCATAACTTTTTCTAATCTCCACTTCTCTTCTTTCTGTTGATTGCTGTTTTTTTCATTCCATTGTTCTTGTTTGAGTTCTTGTAACTAAAGTGACAATTTAATTGAATAAATATATATTTATTTTTTTTGTTCAAATTTTTCTTTACTTAATTAGCTTTAAGGAAGTCCTTAATCTATTTAAGGCATAGAACTCAATCAAAAACTTGATTTTTTTGTGTTTATTAAAATTTGTTTAAACCTGTTGATCAATCACTGCCAATTGGACTTAAACCGAATTTTTGCTAACAGTCTCACATGGAATGAATTCCATATGTAGGTTTAGACCCATCCCATATGAGATATATGTATGTCCTATTTTGTGTTTGGTGTTTTTGTTTTCAGCATTACTCTTAAAAGTGCACTGAGCAGCAGGGGTGCGGTGGATGAAGATAACGGTCCCTCCAAAGCCTGCATCAGGCGTGGCAGGAAATACACAGTGTTAAGCCCGCGTAGATTGCGGAAGTGTTGATGACAATGATGAGATGGGGACGTTAACGAGGGAGGGAGGGAGGGATCTTCATTATATTATTTTGACAAAAATGATTGATTGGTTGTATTATTTTGACAAATTTGATATTTATGGGTTGTCTTTTTTTGACAAAATTAATATAGAGTGATAAAATATATTTAGTTTAAAATCTCTACAACATATACAATATTTTAAAGAGGACATATATTTTCAGATCCATCATAAATATAATTTATAGATATTTTTCTGTATGCAAAATTTTGATCAGAACTTATATAACATTATATGCAGAATACATCACGTGCGCTATTAAATTTTTTACATTACATTGATTATATCATATCATATTACACTACACTACATTGATTATATCATATTATAATTAAACAAGAAGAAAAAGATGGAGTTATATATATATATTATAAACTAGATGGAGAAAATTATTTGTTTGTTTGAAAGTTGTGAACTTTGTATTAAATTGTCTACAAAAATGGTGGCTCCATGTTTGAAATAACAAAAAGAAAAAAATCAGTCTTATTTTTTATCTTTTGCTGACTATTCAAAATCAAGGAGTGTGCTTATGTAAGCGATGACATCAAGAGTGTGCTTATGTAAGCCATGACATCAGGAGCGTGCTTATGTAAGCCATGACGTCAGGAGCGTGCTTATGTAAGCCATGACGTCAGCAAGGAGCGTCCAACGGGTATAATTTTGTGTATAAATAGAAGTGTTGTGTGTGGAGAATATCATCAAGAACTTGAAGAGAAAATATTTCTGTGAGCTCCAAAATTCTGAGTATTCTGCTCTTTCACTTTCAGATCTAAGTCTAGCTTTTGTTTTTACACTTTCATATCTACTCTTTGTGAGAGAATTATTGTAAAAGTGGGTTCAATTACCACTTATTCTTATTCCTTATTTTTGTGAGAGATTTTGTAAGGGTAAGGCATTTATTGTTGAGTGAGGATCAATAGATAAGAGTAAGTCCTGTGCCAAATCCACAAGCTTGGTGGTGTATTTATTCAATTGATAGTACAGAAATTCTCAAGGAGGTTCCTTGGGGAGTGGACGTAGGCCTGGAGTGCCGAACCATTATAAATCGCAGTGTTTGATTTTCTCTCTCTATCTCTTCTACTTTTATATTGATAATTATTATTCTGTTTTTTTTTTATTTATTAAAATTCTGAATATTGTGTTATTTTTAATATTGTGAAATTTTTAATAACCCAATTCACCCCTCCTGAGTTGCCTATCTGGGATAACAAATTGGACTTAAACCGAATTTTTGCTAACAGTCTCACATGGAATGAATTCCATATGTAGGTTTAGACCCATCCCATATGAGATATATGTATGTCCTATTTTGTGTTTGGTGTTTTTGTTTTCAGCATTACTCTTAAAAGTGCACTGAGCAGCAGGGGTGCGGTGGATGAAGATAACGGTCCCTCCAAAGCCTGCATCAGGCGTGGCAGGAAATACACAGTGTTAAGCCCGCGTAGATTGCGGAAGTGTTGATGACAATGATGAGATGGGGACGTTAACGAGGGAGGGAGGGATCTTCAGGGACAAAGAGTGCTTAGGCTGTCTTTTTTGTTCTTTTTTATTTTATACCGTGGGAGCCATGTGATGATGTGATTTGATTTGGGCAGTATTATTAATATGGAAAAAGGTTGAGAACCTTTGTTTTCTTGACCTCCACCATCTCAATGTAACGGGATTGATCAACTTTTTTATTTTTTGATTTTTGATTTTTTTTTTTTCCTATCACTCAGACATGTGTCTGTGGGGGTTGTGGGAGATAAGAAAAAATGAGGTCTCTATCATTTTTGTATTAATATTAATCCAAGTTGATCCAAGTAGGACGGTGGTTTACATGCATTATGATTGGTGAAAGGGATAAAATTCATAATTTTATATTAAATGATTAACGAATATAAAAAGAGATGATAATTTATAATTGATCAAAGACATAATTACGTGATGTTATGGACCAACGAATAAATATTCATTATACCAAGCAACCCCTCATCATTACATGCACCACCAGAGCTGTCACAATGTTTCTTTTATTAGGTCTATCCTATTTTTTTTAATTTAAGTTCGTGAGTTTATGAGAGAGCACTAATTATGAATTTTCTACAAACTACACCAAACATGCTCATAGCATTGATTAATCTGAATTTCTTTCTTAGAATGGTTACCCCACCAATCATCATGGACCATGGCTAGGAGGAATCATGCCGAATGATAGCTGTGTATCCCCACCACCACCTCCTCCTCCTCCTTTATCCTTATGATCTTTCTTTCGGCTTAATTACTTTAATTAATGGCATTCTCTTTCTCTCTCTCCAACTGACTTTACAGATGAGAAACAAAAATAAAACAGAAAAATCTATATAAAGGGGGTCATTCCTGGGACTATCCATGCAAGAGCCAACAAACATCAATATGAGTGGTCATAATAATAACATGAAGAATGCTGTGATAGCACTGTTGGCTCCTCTTCCCTCCATACTATTCTATATCTCCTTCCTTCACCAAATTAGCAGCGGTACTAGTAGTAGTAGTGATACTTCAAGTGCTTGGCTTATTTGGAGTTGGTGCTACGATCACCCTTTCCTATTGGCAAACCTCCTCTACTTTCTCAATGTCAATCTCCTCATTTGGATCATTAGTCTTGTCCAGTCTAGCAACTGGGTGGGTTTTACTACTAATACTAATACTAATACAGCATGCATGGTTTTCTTTTTCTTTTTCTTTTCTTTTCAACATTAATTCTTATATGTGCAGTTGATAGATGTTTATTGGACGGTGATACCAGTGATGTTAGTACATTACTATGCAACTCACCCTTTAGGAAAGTATAACCCACGGAGGTCGAGGGCGGTGATACTAATGACATGGGCATGGGCTATCAGACTCAGTCACAACTACTTCCGCCGTGAAAGGTGGCAATTGGGTGCCAGGGAGGATTGGAGATTTACTGATATGCGTCTACAGTATGGCAAAAATTGGTGGTGGGTTTCTTTCTTCTCTGCCTACCTTTCTCAGCAGGTAATTTGTTTTTGCCTATAATTTAGATTTTATAGTTTTTGCTTTTTAATTTTTTAATTTTGTCAATTTAAAATCTAATTGATAACATTCGTTAAAAAATTACACAGAATTCTTGGGCAAAATAGTACATTCAAAAAAGAATTGATTATTTCAAATTGGGCGTCAACCCCCTAAAGAGTGAATTGACTATTTGCACTTTTAGTCCAATTTCTAAAATAATGTGATCATTTGGGCTAAATTGATACAACATAAAAAAATAAAAGGGTAAAATTGATATAATTGAAACTCAGAATATCTAGTCAATCAGTTTAAATTGTCTGTCAGAATGGGACTTTCTTGGAGGGAGACCTAAACGTATGATTTTTGGTTGTTAAATACCAAAACTAAAACTTGGCGCAGGTGTTTCTGATTGGAGTGTGTCTACCCTTGTATGTTATCCACTCAGTTGACAAGCCACTGAATTTTTGGGACTTGATTGCTGTAGTTGTTTGCATGACTGGTATAGTTGTTGCCTATCTTGCCGACACACAACTCTACAACTTCGTTTGTAGAAATGAGAAACTAAAAGAACTTGACAAGCCCATGGTTCCAAATCATGACAAGGGCCTTTGGCGGTACTCTCGACACCCCAACTACTTTGGGGAGCAGTTGTGGTGGTGGGGATTGGTCATCTTTGGATGCAATCTTGGATGTGCTTGGACCTTTGTCGGACCGCTCTTTAATAGCATGTGCTTAGCATATGTCACCATGCTTGTCGAGAGGCGGATGCTGAAACAGGATTATAGAGCTGAAGCATACAGGGTGTACCAGCAGACAACCTCGGTGTGGATACCTTGGTTCAAGTTCAAGTCATCCCCAACCCCAAAGGGAGGAAAAGATAAGACCACTTGAATCCGTATTTCCCTGCTATTTGGACGCTAGTCTATTTGGCCAGAACTCTTACACGTCATCACTAAGAGGTCAAGGTTCAACTCCTTTGTCCCTGGACTATGGCATCCAATGTGAAAAAAAAAATTTAATAATTACATGTACCTCTCTTATGCTTTATCTTTAAAACTTCACATTTGTGTTTGCACTCTGTAGTTACTTTGGCAGAAGAATGAATGGTGTTGGAGTATGAGGAGTAATTTGTTATATGAAATTGTATAAAGCATTTGTGCATTTAGTAAACAAGTTCCTTTCTTATCTAAAAGTTGCCAAAGGTGGGGGATGTAGCTGTATTCACTACAAAAAATTAAGGTCTCAGGGACCAAAATTTAGGGACAAAATTATTTTTTAAGGACCAAATATTTTTGTTGTGAAAAGTGTGATTATATTTTTAGCAACGAAAATTAGACATTAATAATCTTTTTGGGACCAAATTTTTTGTCTCAAAAAATAAATCATTTTGTCTCTAAAAGTGTACTTATTAGTGACATTTTCAAAATTTTATCGCTAAAAGCTTTATTTTTTACTTTTCGAGATGACCTTTTAACAACTATTCTCGCGACGATAAAAATTTGTCTCTAAATGTATTTTGCAACAAAATTTTCATTTTTAGAGACAAAAATTTGAACTCTAAAATTCTTATATGTTGCAGTGATTATTAGTTTAAGGCTATCATGATACTGAAAACAAAGATACTCAAATAAAATTATAAGGATCCTATCCTTTTAAGTCGTGGTTAAGTAGTCAGAAAGAAATTTGATGGTCACACAACTAACATGTATCAAGCTTTTGCTGCCCCAAAACTGTGGCTATTTATATGAACATCAGTGTTTCTATACACAATCATTTGTGTCTTCTTTTTTTCTTTTTCTTTTTTTCATGTTTGTGATGTATCTTATTTTTCACACTTTGAGTGCCATTGCTTTAGCCAAGTGCATGCCTTTCTGAGTACATGGAGACAAATCAAAACAAACAAACCTGACGAGGCTGCAACACGCGTGAGAGATCTTTCAGGAGGGGAATTTACAATTAGATAGACACAATCCATAACTATAAAGATCCAACCTAAGTTTTCCAGTATGTTCTTGAATTTGATTAATATGGTTCTTCCCTTATTCTGTGTAGACGACAATTTGCAAATCATCCTAAAACAAAGAGTACCTACCACTAAAAAAGTAGTTAGTGACCAGCCCCTGTAAGAGACCAACTTCCCTCCGGCAACCAGGACCTGTTTCCGACACACACAAGATATACACTCCCCGGAAAAGGTTGATGACACCAGGGCATCAAAACCTGTATAGTAGGGCAATATGGTTGAATCAAGGTACAAGCTCGCATGCAAAATTCCAGAGATTGTGGAGGCCTTGTAGAGAGCGTACTTGATATCCTTTTCGGCCACATTGTCAAGGGCAAGAGCAGAGATCTGAATCAGTTGGAGGATAGAGGGGCCAATGCATGAGAGGGGAAATATTGTGTTGATCCTCTGTCCCTTGGCAAGGGCCAAGAGGGTGAGTGGGAGGGACACTGGACCAGATGGTAGCAAGCATCTTCTAATTATTTGACCAACACAATTATTATTATTTGTTCGCCGCCCAGCAACAGCAGCAGCCCCATTGCCATTGACATACACGATCATCTCCATTACTAACGAGATTAGTGTTGCCAGGTACGAAGCTGTCACGAGGGAAAGTAGTAAAATATCCACAGCAGGTGGATAATTACCTGGGTAGGTGCTGTCGCAGTAGTAATGATAAGGGCAGTTGATTGGATCCAAAGTCTCTTCCACTTGCCACGTCGTACATTTGAAGAATATTGTGTTGCGGACGACATTATCATGTTGAAATATTGCTGGAATTTCTGGGTGCAGAAGGAGTGCTTGACTAATCATTTTGTTTCTGTCAAGTGTGGCCTCACCTCTTTTTTTTCTCCTTCCCTCTATTCCTTCCGTTAACTTTCCTTTCAATAAATATGTGAGGAGGTCTAATTTCCTGGTTTAATGGCAGTTGAGATGTTGTTTTGGCTGTAGGTAAATTGATGAAGGAAGACCAACTAACTCTTTTCTTGTGTTCATTTATGTTTTCATACTAAATTTTTATTTATTTACTTTTTTCTGGTAATTCTGTTCATGTTTTCATTTTAAACATGTAATAGAATCACTTATCTTGGATAACGATTTCTTGTCTAATAACCTTTTTTACCAAAGTGCAAAAAAGATGATATTAAGATGTTGCTTCTTCTTTTTATTTCTTTATCTGTTCTTCTTTGTGGTTGTTAAGGCAATTAGCCTCCATTAGGATATTAAGAACATTTGATTTTTATATATATTTGCAATTAGCCTCAAATAGAAGCAATTTGAGTTATATATGGTGGTGGGACCATGGGAGTTGGTAAGCAAGGAGGGGAAGGGAGGGAGAGGCACCTTCATTTCCAAGTGATGCAGTTTGGTGTGCGATTGCAACGGGTTTCCTTCTAAGATGCGTTCAAAACGATATCAACCCCTCTGATCCATGAGCAAAGATGAACTCTCAGAAAATAGTCAGACAAGTCCAATTCTACCTACCAACCACTTCGCTTCCAACGATGGACACTTATTAGATATACTCTATCTTGTCATGTTATCTTTATGTCGCTTGTATAGTTTTGAATTACAAATGTTTCAACAGGTTTTGCAACTTTTAATATATATATATATATATCAATCACATAACCAATCCACAGGTGTAACAGTGAGGACTGTTTGTTTCAACAACATTTTCTAACTCAAATACAATTGTGCAGTTTCAATAAACAGTCTCTTTTCTTCTCAAAATTATTATATGATCATTCCATATAAAAAAACTCAATTTATCTGATAAAAAGTAGGCTCTCTCCTCTATAAGATTTCCATAAAGAAAATTTATAAAGACAAAAACAACAAATTTTAAAAACAAAACAAAAAGTAATAAAAAAAAAAAAATTTAAAAGAGAAAGAAAAAAAAAGGCTTCATTAAGATCAAAAATAAAAATCTTTTGTGCCTTTAACGCAACTGATTTCTATTTATGATGTAGTACATAGTCATTCGCCAACTCCAATATTGTACATAAAATTATCGTTTTATGAAAAGTAATGAAAAATTCACAACTTCAATATACATTTCACATATTTTTGTCTACAGTTATATATTGCTATACATTTTTTACATATTTCAATACACTTTTTACATGCATATATATCACACTGCCCTATAGGCGGTCTTTAGCATTTCCCTTTTACTAAAAGAAAAGGGCTGCACGTCATTAAATTCACAGACGATGAGCGTGTAGAGCAAGACCTTAAATATCCCCCAAATACATATGGGGATTCTGGACTTACAATATCAATATTCACCGATATATAATATATGACCATGTCATCAGTACCGATACATAAACTGTTATTTAAACCATGTATAGAGATCCAACAGTCAGTGGAAACAGAACATTACATTAACAGATGCAAACCATTACACTTCCATTTTGGCATGCAATCTACATAGACCAGTAACATGAAACATATTTTGAATACAAGTCTAATGGGAAAAATTATTCGGTGCCCCATGGGCACCACGTGGCTATGCCACAAACCAAACTAGGACTAATAATTGTCCAAAACAAAGATGAATATTTGTCAACTTCTCCTTTAACAATATTGTTGACACCAATTATTAAGATTTAAGAGAAGCTATTTACTCCTACCGCTTCAGGGTATGCAGAATGTATTCAGCATAAAGGTCCCTGCACCAGATCAATTTAGATGTCACCTTAGGATAGAAGACACACGCGCACGCACACACACACACACACACACATATATTTATCGTAACAAAAAAGCCAAGTAGTTGATACTGTATCAACCTGGGAATTATTACTTGCAGAAGATGATTTTTTTTAGTAAAAAACTTAAAACTTTCTCATCTTTCTTTGATCTTGCAATGCCCATTTCCTTGAGCAGCCTCATTTTCAAATGCATTCTTCACTTATATATGCAAATAACTAATTCCAAGGTATTTTGCCTGTTTACGGTACACTTACATTGAGTGCTGGATGGCTTCAATGGCAGCAGTTGAAGGTAAGAAATCGTTAACTGCAACCTCCTTGTTTTCATTCTTCTTGTCTGTGCAATGTGTTAGGAGAACATTACTCCACAAATTCTAATCTAAACCTACACACAATTGCAATAGGCAAAGCAAAAGTTTATTTAGCAAGTTTTAGAAAGGATACAGTCTTCAAAAAAGCGTCTGATTTCAGTGAGGCGATGAGGGGCAAGCTGATTGATGTCAGTGTAGTGCTTATACTCTGGATCATCAGCGCACACTGCAATGACCTTATCATCTTTCTCTCCCTGTTTTGGAAGTGGAACTAGTTATCATGTTGTTTACATTGATGGAAAGATATGCCAAAAGCTTAATTCACTTTAGAAGTTCAAAGAGTACCTGATCGATCATAGGCATAAGTCCAATGGCCTTGGCTCGAAGAAAACAGCCTGGAAGAACCGGCTCCTATTCAAAATGATAATTTGGCAAGTGTTTATAGTCATTTTTCAAACATAAAGCTCAAACCAATGTTACCTTGAACGTGGATCGTTCTAGGATATGGAATGGGAATAAGAACGTGATGTGCCACACCTCTAGAATATGGTACAATTTGGTGGGTTTATATAGATCACAATTTTATCATTCATCAAGTTATTGAACAAATAGACAATAATTGAAACATAATCTCTATTAAATTCCATTTCTACTTGTGTTGAAGTTTTCCTATGTTCAAAGGAAGTATGTAAAAACAAATTTCTAAGAGCATCATAAACCCCTTTCAAGATCTTCTTCTTCCAAAACCTTACTCTTTCAAGATTTTACTTCATTATATTTATTTATTTTTTCTCTTAAGAAAAACAAGAAGGGAAAAATAGTTCAGATCACTTTGGATCTCCAAATTCACTATTTTGGAATAAAATATACAATTTTCTTGAATGTACATTCTAAAACGTCACTCGCTAGTGTATTACAATAGTATTTTCTAGTAATTAAAATGGCTCAAACAAATAGTAGCTGTGAAGGATTGACATGCCAATACTTCCTGGTTGTGGATTAGTAATCAAGGAAAAACTATTCAACTTGATAATTATTTGCATCATATTTGAAAAATATTAAATTAGTTTGGCGTGAACCCAATAATGGGAATAAAACTGATTAAAGGAGGAAAAAAATTTGTATATATATATAAGCATTCTCCTCCGATTTCCATCTGAAATAATTCAGGTAAGGGGCATTATTTCCCATTTAAAAGGAGCTTTGTGTGTATTTAGGGATTATAAAGGTTAATGCATTGTTTTGTCACACTAGATGATGAAGTTAGGGCGCTTTGGAATCTCGGACATTAGTCAACAACTATGTCACTTTGCATTATATACCTATCACATTTGACTGAATTTAAGGAAGTTCTTTCTGCATAGAAGATGGCTGCAAAATTGATTGAAATTACCTGCATGAGGACTAAAACATCCAATGGGTCATTATCTTCACATAGCGAGCGAGGGATGAAACCATAGTTATGGGGATAGACCACGGATGAATATAAGATCCGATCAACCTGGTCAATAATTTAAAGTAACAAAATCAAAAAGTACATATTTAGACGTCTAAAGACAGATATACAACACAGTTCTAAGATCCTGGAATGGAAATACTGATATCTTGAAATCACAATCATCCAATTTCAGCTGTGAGTTCATTCATACCTTAATCATCCCTGTCTTCTTGTCGAGTTCATATTTAACCTTACTTCCTTTTGTTATCTCGACAACCTGTAGCAAGAAATTAAGCTGACAGTTCAGTAAGCATATATCATAACTGGGAAGGACCAAACTTGTAAAAAGAAATGCTAGCTAGATTTCAAAATTATATTGAGTACAACTAGGTCTTTACAATGTTTGCTGTCTGTTGGGAAAGAGAAATTCTCAGAGAAACTTGAGGGGGAAAAATCAGTGATCTTAACTAATGATTTAAATTTTGATAATTTAATGTGGTCTTATTTTATCTGGCAATTTTCAGATTTTGGCTTGAAGGTTGTGTTCCTTTGGTGATGCTTGTTGGATTAAAGACTTACGCAGTTGAAAATGTGGGGTGCTTCGGGTCCTGCAGCAAAGATTTTGCAAAATGATTAACATCCTCACCAATTTAATATACAAGTTATTCTGAATTATGAAAGATAATCATTATGTTGTACCAATCTCAAGATCATGCCAAGGATGTGCAGCAACTGATCTTTTGGATAAAGATGATAGGATCCTCTCATTTAAACGGGGAGCATTGCGACTTTCACTCATTTTTGGCCTAATAGAGAACAAAGATCTCAAATAAACAATTTAATATAGATAACATTATTTAAAAATAAATGCATATACTTTTGTGCTAACTGATTTTCATTTATTTAAAGTATGGGCTAAGGTTGGTATTATTAAATTACTTGCATCAATATATGCATGGGAAGATTCAGAAAAAATAAATTGGCCTCACAACACATGTATGGGAAGATTCAAGATTGTTAAATACCAAACAAACAAAAATCAAGATTGCTCAGCTTTATAATGTAATATATGTCCACTGTAATGCTCGAATATTGAGCAGCAGATACTTCATTTGCACAATAAAATCAATAAAAAGAGGGCAGTATCATCAAAAGTAAAACCAAAAAAGGCCTTATATATAATCATCAAAGTCAAATATCCAAGTATGAACCTCCAGATACTTCTCTCTCTAATTTTTGAAAATGGAAACTAAAATTAAGATATGTGAGTATATTTGGAAACCCAGAAGTGTAATGAATAATTGTTTTATATAGATAAATTAATCCAGATAGAAAAAGACAGTCAATACTCAACATTATGCAAGACTTTATAATAAAAATAAAATAAATGGAAGAAAAAAGTTTCATGTCAAATAAACAAAAAGGAACTGAAAAACTTACCTGAGAATAAAGAAGAAGGAACAGGGTTGGGAAGATTATTAAGAGAATAGAGTTCCTGTGAGGTTTGTGAACAAATATTGTTAAATAAGCACATATGTATATATAGTATAAGAGATCTCTACAAGAACACTAAAATGTCGCAGTGATGTGTGAGGTGTGAATGTGCTAGTCAGATTGTTCCTACTTTCGAGGAAATCTTGCACCTCTTGGCTTTAGGGTGAGGTGAGACAAAAAAAGTAGCTCCCCAAAATCAGATCTGTAAAAGCTTGAGCAATGCAAACAGATGAGAAGTTTGCTCCAATTTGGATAGCTAGCAACTCCCTCAATTAAACCTTGGTCAAGTTTGGTTAGGAAGCTGTATTGGCTTACTAACCAAACCTGACCTCATATATGACAAGAAAAAGGCACCTATTCAAGTCTACCACAATAATAATCATAAAACTAAATTTCTATATAGCAATTTAACACAGGCAATTCAAGACAAATGCAAAGCTAGAATCTCAGAAGTGCCACAAGTTGAAACTAGTTAACTGCTTGCATGAAAAGCATGTGGGCGTTTGCTATGGGAGTGACCACAACATGTACCAGCATCAAAACATGGGAGGATGAATAAATGTGTTGACTACTGAGCTAAAATTAACAACAACCCTGCCACTGGTTTTTAATAGCCTCATACTCTGACTCATATCAAAGGTGATAAACCATAATATTCTATACCAATTAAATTAAGGGGGAATTACAATTAAGTGGGTTTTAATTTTTCTTTTCAGATGCATGAAATTTTTTTATAATTTTAATTATTAATATTTATAAAATTTATCACTTATATGTAATTTTATTTCTAAATCTACACTAAATTATATTTTTTTCCTTAAATTAAAATGTGTGTATTATAGGACTCAACATTTTTTAAGTAAAAATTTCGTATCACATTAGTATACATTATTTTTTTTTAGATAATAAACCAGAAACAGATAGTACACATTATTATTAACAGATGGTATAATCAACTAATAATCAACTTATATTTGAAAAGATAAATCCTACAATTAAAATGTGACTACTCATTTTAGCGTAATCACTACATATGTTAGGATTGATTATACTTATATATAACTTGTTATTGTTATTGACGAGTGATATCACATGTTGATTATGACGTATATATATAATTTTTATTTAGTGTAATTTATTGAGTTATTTTATGATTTTTTGTTTTAAAAAATTATGTCAAAGTGTTTGATGTAATTTTTAAAAGACAAAAATTATTTAAATAAATTTAAAAAGAAATTATCCCACAATTAAGAGAGTCTTTTTTATGGAAAATTATAAAGTATTCTCGGAATATTACGTGTTCATATTCTTTAACCAATAATCATTCATCATATCTCCTTATATTCTTTAATCATCCAATATAAAATTATAATATCTTACATTTTCTATCAATCATAATATTATAAAATGTTACGCGACTATATTATGAGAGTAACAAATAATCATGCTATTTTTACATGCCTTCACAATACTTCACTAGTTATACGGAGTTTAGTGCCGAACTGAAGGCGGAAAATGAGCCGTTAGATTCAAAACATTGTTAAAAAATAGACTACATGAGAAATTATCACATAGATCAGTAAGATCATGTGGTTTTATGTCCATCCAATAAGATTTTATTATTTCTCTGTAATTTTTTTATACTTAGGGTCATGTAAGGAATTTGATTTCTTGCACCTTTTATTTTAATTTTTTATTATATTTTGAAAAAATATCATTTTGCCCTTCAAATTTTTACTCAAAATGTCTCCCAAATTATATATTATATCAATTTAGCTCTTAACTATTTTAACTACAATCAATTCGATCCCTACTGTCATATTCCGTCAGAATCAAGCGAAAAAAAAAAAAATAATAAATGCACTTTTGCCCCCAAATTTAAATCCACTGATCGAAACCCACCCACTCTTCTCTTTTTTTCTCAATCTCTAAAACCAGACCACCACCTCTATCTAAACCTCTCCTCCTTTACAGTTATTAAATCTACACTTTGTCCCTCACGAGCGGTGGCTGCCATTGAGGTTTTAGGGGATATATTGTATGTAGTTGTGGAAGTTGTTGTTTATAAATAAATAAATATAAATAGAGAGAGAGAGAGGAAAATGGAAGAGAAAAAATAAAATGAGGGAGAGGGAGAACTTATTTTAGAGAGAGAGATGAAAAGTAAGAAGAAAAGACGAGGGACGGAACATGACGGTAGGGGTTGAATTCATTGCAATTAAAATAGTTTAGGAGCTAAATTGATTAAATCCATAATTTGGGGGTCAAATTGATTTTTAGATGAAAATTTGGTGGGAAAATGAAATTGTCTCTCATATTTTTATCTTTTTTATAAAATTACTTTTAAAGACTACATACTTTAAAATCTTCTCTTCATACTCTTTACTCTTCCTTCTTATTACCCAACCACCACCATCCTTCCTGCTTCACCAACACACCGTTTCCATCTTTCCCTTCTCTCACTCATTCCATTCATCTGCAACTCTCAACACATCTACCATGAAGAATATAATAACAAACAAAAAAGAAAAAAAAAATGATAGCTCAAACATATATGTGATAATTGTAAATAAATTATATACAATAAATTTGTGCTTAAGAGATGTTTTGATATGATTTTCTATCATTTTAATGTTATTTTGTGCTATTTGTACAGGGAAAAAATGGAGCCTTTGAACTCTAGTTTGCCGAACAAACTACATTGTTCAACCTTTCGTAACCTAATATTTTAAGATTATTCGGACCTTTAAGGCCGAATGTTGCTAATTTAATCAATTCTAGCTTATACGACTAGCTAGCGTCTAACAAACTTGATTTGTTACCAGCCAAACAAAACTCAAATGTAGAAAAAATAAATGAAGTCCCCAAAATGTCATTTTTCATTTCAATAAAAGGGCTAAAGAGGTGATGTGATTGTGGAAGAGTATGTAGGAGGTATGAGAGGATAGAGAACAGACTAGGGTGGAGGTTGGAGATGATGGTAGATGCGAGTTAAGATTTAGAAACTTAGGGTGTAAAGAGAATATGAAGGATAGGAATGAAGTTACTTTTATAAAATTATAATGGGATAAACAGATGAAATAGAAAATTTTAATTTTTGTTAGGAGTGTAAAAAGAAAAAGGGTGTAAGAAGAAAAATTTTGTAATGTAAATAGGCCCCTAAGTTATCCCGTTATTGAGTTAGGGGTAAATTATGGCCTTTAAAATATATCATTTATTTTATTTTTGGTCTTTAATTTTTAATTATATCAATAATATCTCTAAAGTGTGAATGAATTTGTTCACACACTTTTTCTAGTGTTTAAACAATACATAAAAATAGATGAGTAAGATAAAATTAAATGCGACTCCGAGCAATTACCCAAGATTACGGAGAGAACATTCTGTGGCAAGATAAGTGAAGTTTCAAGTTCAAATCCATGGAGAGATGCTGACTTACGTTGTAATCTAGCTACTAACATAGTAACCACTAACATAGTAACCGCCATTTTGTGAGGGAATTTTTTTTTTTTAATGCTATAGATCCCACAACTTGACTCAAGTTGGAGATAGAGGCGACCATTTATTTGTCATTAGAAAAGAAAAAGACATGTATACTTAGAGGGGAAGAGGAGGGCAGAACAAGGCCCATTCATTTCCTTCTAATGGTTAAGTCTATTCAAGGGGAGTTCTTAAGTACATCTGCATAGATTACAGTAAAAGTACATGTAAAATACATTATAGTACACACATCCACACGACAAGTTTCGTGAGCTTCAAGAATAGACAAATTAACTAGAAATGAAACTGGAAAAGGGGCTGGAATAAAAATGAAATGCAACAACAAAGGTTTCCCTTGTAAATTGCACATCCATTTGTCCACAAACAGTCATCAAGTTGAAGCCTCTCCTTCCAACCGTATTCTCTTGGGACATTGCTCTTCACCTTGGCTGCTGGCAGCACTTACAACCTTGCTCTGCTTCGCCTCCACTGAACACCTTTTATAGGGCTTAAACCCTGTTCGGTGAGGCTTAAGCTTCCCATGCCCAAGCTCTATAGTCAACAGTCCTTCCCCATGGTTTTCGCTTCTCAAGAATGTGTTATTCTGCACCACTTGATGACTGGGACAAGTCCCCCACATCATGCTGTTAAGGTCAAATCGTGATGCATCTTCAGCTTTCTCATCTGCATTCTGCTTATTATCCTGTGGAGGTGAAAAGCTTTGTGGCAGTACTTTTCTAGAGAATAGTGCCCGAAAGGCTAACCGCCCCTGCAAGTGAAAAATTAAAAGCAACGATGAATACAGTGCGCAGGAGCAATGGAGAGACGTTGACTTACGTTGTAATCTAGCTACTAACATAGTAACCACTAACATAGTAACTGCCATTTTGTGAGGGAATTTTTTTTTTTAATGCTATAGATCCCACAACTTGACTCAAGTTGGAGATAGAGGCGACCATTTATTTGTCATTAGAAAAGAAAAAGACATGTATACTTAGAGGGGAAGAGGAGGGCAGAACAAGGCCCATTCATTTCCTTCTAATGGTTAAGTATTCAAGGGGAGTTCTTAAGTACATCTGCATAGATTACAGTAAAAGTACATGTAAAATACATTATAGTACACACATCCACACGACAAGTTTCGTGAGCTTCAAGAATAGACAAATTAACTAGAAATGAAACAGGAAAAGGGGCTGGAATAAAAATGAAATGCAACAACAAAGGTTTCCCTTGTAAATTGCATATCCATTTGTCCACAAACAGTCATCAAGTTGAAGCCTCTCCTTCCAACCGTATTCTCTTGGGACATTGCTCTTCACCTTGGCTGCTGGCAGCACTTACAACCTTGCTCTGCTTCGCCTCCACTGAACACCTTTTATAGGGCTTAAACCCTGTTCGGTGAGGCTTAAGCTTCCCATGCCCAAGCTCTATAGTCAACAGTCCTTCCCCATGGTTTTCGCTTCTCAAGAATGTGTTATTCTGCACCACTTGATGACTGGGACAAGTCCCCCACATCATGCTGTTAAGGTCAAATCGTGATGCATCTTCAGCTTTCTCATCTGCATTCTGCTTATTATCCTGTGGAGGTGAAAAGCTTTGTGGCAGTACTTTTCTAGAGAATAGTGCCCGAAAGGCTAACCGCCCCTGCAAGTGAAAAATTAAAAGCAACGATGAATACAGTGCGCAGGAGCAATATAGACATGAATTCTTTCATTAAAGAAAATATTATTTTTCAGTTACCTCTTCAGAGACCTCCTTCCATGAATCATTTATAATGCAGGAGCTTCTACCACGTCGATTATTAGAGTCACCTGCTGGATGGCTTACATCGGGTTCTATTGGCTCTTCCTTATCTTTCTCGTGCTTCTGCAAAGCATCTGTCTCTACATCACTACTGGAAGGTGTATTGGAACCACAAGAAGAGCGATCCACCCGTTTTCTGCTCTTTGCCTTGTTTGAATCATGGAGGTCAGTTACTACAGCTGCAGCTTTCTCATCATGATCATCAGCAGCAGTTAACCCAGTATTTGGTTTTGCACCTTCACTTTCCTCAGAGTCTGACGATGACAAAGTTGGTGATTTGGAAGCAGAATGCTGTTCTTGCCGAGCTTCAGAATATTCTGGGTCCAGCTGTGGATTTTTCAAGGGAAGATCATGAAGAGCATTCTCTCTTTTATCATTGTTTCCTGCTGCAGCAAGACCAACATTTGTTGGAGTTGCTGTTGTGGATGCAGGAGTGCAAGTAAAACCAGTGTGAAAAGGAGTGCACACTGGCAACAGTCCATTTGCTGCCCACCAAGCAGCTGCAGCTGCTACTGTAGCAGCAGCAATAGCTGCCATACTAGGAGCTGGATTCATCTGCCTCAATGGAAAGCCTCCTAAAGTGTCTACAGGAGAAAGTCCAGAAGCTTCCATATTTGTGGAAGGCCAGAATGTAGCTGCAAAGCTTGCTGCAGCATGGGCTGCTGGGTTTTGCAGGAGGGTAGATGCAATAAGATTTGAAAAGGTGGAAGCAAAATGAAGGTATGATTGGTAGTCATCTTGATCATTGCGAATTGGGGTGAAGAGCGGATGGAAAGGAGGAAACTGTTGATGAGTGGAAGATCTTGGCGCATTAACATGATGTTCAGTGGTTGCAGAAGCAGCTGGATTTGAGAATGGGTTAGGGCATCCATGAATTCCTCCTATTTGGTGAAATATGGATTCTTGGCAAGACATATCTGAAGAAACATTTTCAGTGTTCATTCCTAGGCTCCCATTTAGAACATGCACAGGAACATGTCTTGGGTAGTTATGTGTGGCTTGCATATCACTTGACGGCAATGCCCCAAAATTTTCAGGGTGGCACATTTCATCTGTTTTCTTTCCTTGAACCAATTTCTCATGTGAAGGGATAGAACTCTCCAAGTTCGAGGTGTAATTTGTTCCATTATCCTGAACCGTTTGTTTTGCATCAAATTTAACCAACTTCTGAATTCCTCTGGGTTCAACAGTGACATAAGATTCATTTGTTTCATCCTGGGTACTTACCATCATAGGCACAAACTCCCTAAAAGTGCAAGAATTTCTGGGTGCCGCCAGTGTTCGAATGGAATCTTTGTCCACTGAAGACAAGGACGTACACGGAGCTTCTTGGAAAAGGGTTAAAACTTCAGAGAAATTTCCCTCATCCTGGTTTTCTTTGACATTTTCTTGCTTTTCATCTCCATCAGGTTTCTAACAACAATAAATAGGCCAAAGAATTTCAGAAATTTAAAAATACGAAGGAACAAAATAAAAACATGCATGCAGAAGTAAACAAGAAAATGTGCCATAAATCGCCAAACAAATAGAAGAGCAATGATGCAGGGGACATATATACCTCAGGTAGTGGTTCTCTTTCCAAGTCCAGTATTTGTTTACCAGTGGCAGTGCAGGAAGAAGAAACTGATGATGAATTATTCCCATCCTTTGCTCCCACCTGCAGACTAGGTATTGCCACACCAGTCTTTCGAGGATAAGGATTGCTTGGTTTCCTTTTAGGGCGCGGAGGAGGAATCTCTATGTCAATAGCTTGTCTTATTGGAACTCCTTTCACAAGAGCTTCCTTCTCCAACTGGAGTTGGAAAACAGTTGTTAATACTTAGAACCCAAAGAGAAATTTTATGAAAAAATATTTTTGCGGCACAAAGAGCAGCAATCCACCATAAAACAGTATTAACTGTAATAACTTGGATTTTAGAAGTGCTTACATCTGAAATATATTTAACAAAACAATGACTCAGTACAGAATAGAATCAACACCTACTTTTTTGTGATTCTAGATATCATATGGAACAATTTTAAACTTTCCCAACCACATAATGAATCATCATCATCATCACAGCCTTATCTAATGAATTTTGTAATCTTATTATTTCCAAGTGAAATTCAGTATTCCATTCAACCAATCTAGCAACCTTTTTGGATGAAAATATCAATATGCCACTTCCTGCTGTTCAATTTTCATTTCGATCTTTTGAACAGTAGCATAACCACCAACTCCTACCATTCATCTTATACATTATGGAACCCCGGAAATGAGGGAAGAAGAAGTCCTCTCTAGGAATAAACTTGATAATCATGTGACAACATGCAAACCCAAAAGTTTTCTACCTTCTTTGTCCATTGGAGAAATCAAATTTCCTAATATAACTTCATATCTCATGCCTGAGATCCAATAACGAACTGTAGAAAATCAATGAACAATACAGAGAGAATAAATGTATCTGATGATCTTATTATTGATTGATGTATTGATGTTGTATTATTGATATTACAAGGATTCCTATTATATAGAAGAGGATTTGGGTAGTAGGTGAGGAGTATGCAAACCCAAAAGTTTTCTACCTTCTTTGTCCATTGGAGAAATCAAATTTCCTAATATAACTTCATATCTCATGCCTGAGATCCAATAAAGAACATCATCCACAAGTGTCATCTTAACATCTATGGTTAAATCCTATTGACTCCTAGTGAAATTCATGATCAAGGGATCGTAGATTGCAGCAAGTACTCAAAAGCAAATTTGCATATAAGTACTTAAAGTAGAATCATTTGACGGCGTGTAGATGGTGGCACAGACTCCAAAGTAGATTTGCATCAAAAGGGCTCCATATTAGATTCAAATTTCAATTAAGTTTGTTTACTTGTGTACAAGAACCATGGGATCAATCAAGTCCACAGAGTAGATGCTTTCAAATGATATCATACTACATAGATTTGCATAATAAAAACAATATGACATCTTAAGAAATTTGGTTTCTACGCACCTTATGTATGCAGAGTGTATGTTTTTGGTGTGCATTCAAGTTAACAAAGACAACACTGTTCAAGGGAGCATTGGACCATGCATGACATGTTATCATAAATACCAATAACGTGATGGACCAAAATCATGTAAAAACATGAAACAACCACATCAATGAATACTGCTCCTGCATATTCATAACCCTTCAACTTCTGCTTTCCATCAAAGGCTGTAAACAACTTGAGTATTTTAATTTCAAATGGAAGAAACAATACTCAAACTTCGAGGTTCGCCCTAATTCACCTGGCTTCTTTTGGTAATGGGATGCCACATGGATCATTGTACCATACAATTTTCATAGATCAAGGGCTACAGGCCTATCTGTCTGCAATGCAATGTGAACTGACCAAGTTTTTGTTTTGAAAAATATCATGTGTACTAATTTTATAGGAACTCAGTGTTACTTCACACCTCAAACTTTCACGACATGAAACTCATTCCAGACTCTGGTAACTCAGTGTTCTGAGAGAAAATGTCTAAAGAAACTATTTAACAATTGGGGAACTTAAGTGTAGGTCCTAATAGGTAGACTAATTGTCAAATAGATCCTATAATAATTAATGACATTTTTCATCAAACACTACTAAAAAACATCACTAATTGTTAATTTTCAGTGACAATTTGAAATTCTCACACAAATATCACTAATTATAAGTTTTAACGGCAGTTTAAAAAAATTGTCACAAAAAAAAGTCGCTAATTTTCAACTTTCAGTGATAGTTTGAAAAATTCTTCACAGAAAAATATCCCTAATTGTAATTTTTAACGACAATTTATAAAAACTGTGACAAAAAAAAGTCACTAATTGTTAATTTTTAGCAACATAAGCAAAAAATCGTCACAAAAAATTATTTTTAGCGATGATTTTACTAGGGCTTATTTTCAATGGAACTTGATAGGAATTAAGTCTAACTATTAAGACCTATTGGTAGTTTACCCTCAACTCTTCACTATCCACCAACTTTGCTCAAGTAGAAACACCGGAAGGGCCACTCTTCTACTACTAATTTAAGGTTTACCACCGTTACAATCTCACCACGCACTAATTTCTTTCTTCCACCCAAAGGTCCCACCAGACCACCACCATTCTGATACCCATCCTTTATCCCTTTCTCTCACTCCCCCTTCCAACCAAAAAAAAAAAAGAAGAAGAAGAAGAAGAAAGAAACTCCTTTATCTTTCTACTCGACTCCCTCCACCTCACATCATCACTCATCTTTTGCAAACATCACAGCCATCTCTCACCCTACCACGTTATCACATTTATAAATAGAAAATAGAAAGGGAAAGTAGAATTAAAAATGAAAATTCTTAGACAGAGAATATGACAATCTGGTCTTTTATAGTCAGAAGAGAAACAAGCCTATAAAAAAGAAAAGAAAAAAAAAGTAAAAAAATTAAAGAAGGAAAGAAATCCATCAATTTTAGAACAGAAAAATGGAAATGAGAGATTTAAGAGAGTAAAAATTGGTGAACAGTTTCAGAGAGGAAATAAAGAAAGAACAAGAAACAAAAAGATTTAAAGGGGAAAAAAAGCCACCACTCCCGGTGCAGCCGAACATCACATCTTGGCTTATCTCCCTTAGGATACAATAGCTCGACTTATAGTCATGTTGACCCAGACCAATCCTGCACAAGTGGGTGAGTTTAATGCTCCACCACTAAAACGCCCTTACAGTTTGCCTGATAGTTTGTGTAAAAACACAATATATAGAGCAAGTACTTTCGTATTTACACACTGCCACAACATTAGCTCCCATTTATATACAATGAGATTAGATAAACAGTCACATGTTATACATGAATTAATAATACAAACAATTAATACCTTCCATGAATATAATGTAACGCATATTGTGCGAATATTAATAAATGAGACTTGGTGGATGAGTTAATAACCCAACTGTTTCTTTCCTTCCTCCTACAGCTTCAGAACCTCTCACCCACCACATTCATTCTCCATTCATCATTTTAATTACCAAGCATTTTTTCACCTCCGCATTTCCATCACACTTAATCACATGCACTGATGAAATAAATAGATGTACCAGATCATTGATGGCAGCATAATACAAATGCAATTTAATGTTAAAATAAAACATGTGCATTGATAATGCACCAACACCCCCCTAAGAATAATTCCTGGTTCTGCCACTGTTTGTAAACCATCTGTTATTGTCTTTTTTTTCTAGCCAATACTCTACACATTTTCTAAACTGTTTGTTTGTGCCCTTGTACTCTGCCTCTATGTACCCCTGTGCCGGTGTGCTTTTCTTCATTTGTTTATTGCTTGCCTGGTGTCTAATAATATCACCCACTGTTTCAACACTCCCGTCAAGCTTGTAAAACCATCTTGCCCTTCGGCACCATCTTTCCCATATTAGTATCATCTTTCAAAGTCCACATTACTTCTTTAAACATTTTATCCTTAAATACTTCTACTTTCTCGCCTTTTAGATTCTGCCATCTAGTTTGTGGACTTTTAATATCTTTTCTAGTTTGATATTGCCCTTTGATGTATATACCTAGTATTGTTAGCTTATGTTGTTATAACATTGAACTCTCTCTGAAATGACCTCGCAATCCTTCAATTTTTTGACTCTCATTTGACGCACTTTTAAAAGTGATTAAGTGTTCCTCTCTTTTTAAAAATGGTATTAGTTACCACATGTTGTATCTAGCACTTTTTGAAAATTATTGGCCTTGTCTGGTTTGTGCTTGTAGAGTAGTTTTTGAGATAAAAAGTACGAAAACCGGCTTGGTTTGTCTTTTTTCAGAAATGGTTTTGAAAAATTGTTTTGGGAGAGAGTTTTAAAAAAAGTGATTGATTTGATGTGTATGAAAGAGAGAGTAATTTTGAAAAGTAGGTAACCAAACAAAATTTTGAGATTTTTTTTGGAAAAATTTGTTTGGTTTAATTACTTTTGAAAATTTGTTTGTAGAAAATTTTTCCCAAAAAATTTTCTGAAAAACAAACCAAACAAGCCCATTGTGTTGGTGTGTCCATGTCTTGTCACGTGTTTGTTTCTATGATTCATAAGTTGCTCCTCTCTCAAACAGTTTAAGATTTTAGATGAGTTGTTGGCCAACCGTTTAATCCCCTTCCAAGAAAATGATGTTCCACCTTCGCTTCGAAATATTTGGATGAAGACCGTGAAAACACTACATAAGGGTCTCCAACTCTCTAGCCTCAGAATCTTGCAAGGTCCATCTAAAAAACACATCCCAAAATAATTGGCTACCCCCCAAACTAAGCATGGACACAGACCTGCGAACATGCAAATTTTCCAAAAATACACAACACGACACGCATGAAACACGTACAAAATATATAATTTTATATATTTTTTGTTACATGGCATATATTTAAATATTATATATTTATTCTATGTCAGGCCTGTACAACCCTAGGGATTAGTCGGGCTTTGATTCGGACACCCTAAGCCAAAAATATATATATATATTCTATGTCAAATATTTATTCTCGTCAAATTCAACAACCTTGGTATACTACTCCAGAGAAAAAAGAAAAAAAAAACAAACAAAACAAAATAGTGTCCTAATGTGTCAATCGTGTGTCCTCAGTTTGTTTGGCGCCCATATGTAACCTCCAAAGAGGTGTCCGTGCTTCATAGGCCCCAAATGTAAATAAATTGGCACTATGGCATTTCTATCCACCACGATCTCATATAAAGTTGGGAAATTGACCTCCAATACCCACACTAATATGCCAAAATCAAACTCTCAACCACTTTGAATCTATCTTATACATGGCTTGAAATCCATTGTTTCACAAGTTCTAACCTTGAATCCTTTATGTCAACTTGTTCAATGACCAGCTTTTCCATTTTAAATCAACCCTAGAACCTAAAATACCTAGGTTTTCCAACATTACAAAGTCTTCCACATCTTACAACAAGGAAAAACAATGCAAGGCATTTTGCTGGGGGGAAAAAAGCCTATGTTGTGCCTCATGCTTTATTGTTTATCGTTCATAATAAACTCCCAAAGGGATGTGCAAGTGCATCTAAAGACCCAGAGAGGGAATTCGTTGTCGCCCCTTTTATTTTGACAAGTCATTCTCATCCCCTCTCTTCACTGGGAGATGAATATTGTGATCAATTAACATGGTCTAAAAAGTTCTGTATAAACACACTTAGAGAGGCATAAGAATTAATATCTGTCATTCAAGCCTTTGACAGCAAGCACTTTGTACAAATGATTACAACAATAAGGTCTGTATCCAATCCAGCCTTCCAAGTACCTTGTAGACTAATACAATACAACACAATGCAATAGCTTTTTTACACATGCTCTCATGTATGATCACCATTAGTCCCAAGAAATTAAAACTATTAGGAAAGGGCACAACAATGACATGCAACCATATCTTGCACATGGAGACGCAAACATCCTACTACAGATAAACAAATTGCAAAAGGAAAAACAAATGCAAATGGAGAGATTTGAACTAAGACCTTTCCTAACCTGAGCTCTAATACCATGCTAACGAACCACTAGTCTCAAAAGGTTAAGTAAATAGGAAAAGGGCCCAACAATGCATATCAAGCTCTACAATAGTGTGAACATTGTCCAACAATCAATTCTTTATTCTTTGCAAAAGCACACAGTTCCTTAAAGGACCTTCTAAAATGATAAAAGTATGCTAATCACAATCCCCCTGTGCCTATGATACAATCAAACAATGACATTTCATACTCTTCTCACTCTTCAAGACGCAACATCAGTTTATCTATTTTTCTTTCTATTTTCCTTTTGTTGGGGATGGGTGGGGATACAAATTGCATGGAGATGAACTTCCTACTGCAGCTAACATGTCTAGGAATTTCTTGAATAGTTAAGGAACATGTCTCGCATTACATAAGCCATCTAACATTTCTGCATTCAATTGATAAGGAGATGGAAGCACAAAAAGAATTATTAATTTTTAGTATGAATGAAATTCCCTTTGCAATATTATCATTGCCACACAGGCTGTTTTAATATCATATTCTAAACATAATTTTCAAACTATAATACACATCAGAGTGCACAACAACATATTTCAACACAGTAAAAATATGTCATTTGTGAGTACCAACAACAGCTCCCAGGATATTAGATAGATATATGACAAGACACCAAGATTCAATGCACATGAATGGAACAAAGGCGGCTCAAGCCTACTTGAGGCCCAAGACAAATATATAAGTGAGGCTCTTTATTAACTTTTACATTAATTTTTTTCACTTTTTATGATACAAAAGTAATAATTTAACTTTTATATTCAAGTTTTTCTAACATAATATTCATCTAGTGATTTACAGTTTATTATTTTAAAATCGACCAATAACTACACACATAGAATCAACTGCAAAACTAACAACATAATGATATGTTGCAAGTTATGAAGCACAGACCTCTCTCTGGAGGTCACATACAGGTGTCGGACATGTGCCGGACATGAATACGTGCGAACACACTCTGGACATGTGGCGGACACGCTAGGGCACTTTGGACACGATGCGAACACATTGGAACACGCTGAGGACACATTAGGGATATGCTGAGGACACTCTAGGGACACGTTAAGGACACATCGAGGACTTTTTTTTCAAAAAAAATTAAAAATTTTAATTTTTTTACTAAAATAATAGCATACTATGGTTGATAAATTTGATAAAATTAAATATTTTACATAAAATACATGTTAAATATTTAAAAATATGACATATAATAAATATATAAAATTAAATGTTTTGAACGTGCCCCTAACGTATCGTGTCCTGTATTTTTTGAAAATTTGTGTGTCCGTGTTTGTGTTGTGTCCGTGTCCGTGCTTCTTAGGTAGCAAGAGCTTTTGCACTTGGTTCTATGACTGATTCTTCTGTAACATTTCTCTTACTGATGTGGGCTTTTCAATTTGATCAAGAAAGAGATGATATAACGAGGGTTATTTGTTTTCACCAAGAAAGAAGTACAATGATGAAGGCCTTTCATTTGTATAATATATATATATATATATATTTTTAATAAATGCTTTTATTTGTATAATATAATACTATAATGCCAAAGAATTTGCTTATTTCATCGCATTTAATTCTTGATTTTATGAGAGTATTAACTTTTTCTTTTGCCCTTCTTTTTTTTTTTGATGGAGAGAAATGTCTAAACATAATGACGACTGACGAGATGTATAATAATGATAGGGTAGTTTGTTTTGACATGTATGAAATGCAATTTAATGAGTTTTTTTTTTGCCTGGTAATGCTTTTTCCATTCTCCATTTCGACGTTGTTTTTATTTTTACTACTAGTTGTTCGCATTTGCAAGTTTATATCTAAATTTTTTGGTTATTTGATGAATGAAGAAGATGGATTGAATTTGACAACTTTTAGTAGTTATTTTCCAAAGCAATTAACAGTATGGTCATTTTTTGGGGGGAAAATGTTACAAAGCTTCAAAACCTTCTAAGTTATGTTATGTGCTTTACATAAATTATTTTTATGTGATACATACACTATGTATTAAACGTATATAAAAAACTGGGCCCTCTTTTGTTCAAGGGAGTAGGTGAGACATCTCCAATTCTTCATCTTTTCTTTCATCAAATTTGAATTTGATGAAAATATATTAAAAAATCATCTCCAATCCTTTCATCAAATGTTCATCAAATCAAGGGAGAGCCATTTTTTTTCCATCAAATTGAGAACTCATCAAATTTAAATTTGATGAAAATTTTAAAAGATGAAGCATTCAAGATGATTTTTTATATCAAATTTGATGAAAAGGAAAATTTGGTATAAGAGGGGAATTCTTAAAAAGATTTTGATAAAAATTTGATGAAAGAATTGGAGTAGTTCATACGAAATCAAACTTCTTACTCAAATTTATTATCAAATTAGATGGAAAAAATTGGAGAAGGATTGGGGATGGTCTAAGTTGCCCAGTGATTGAGCTGCTAATGCAAGAGAACTACACAAAACAACAAATAATGGTGGTAATGAGTGAATAATATGAGTGAATAATACGTCAGATCAGAAAGTTGGGAACAGAAAAGGGAAAATCAAGTCATAAATTTTTGTTTCATGGTGTGGTTGAAGTCAAGACCTAGCAACAATAAGTGAAGATATATTTTCCACATAAGCATAAGGAGTGAAGGTACCGATTGACCTTTGTAAAGAATTTCTGTGCATGACTTCTGATCTGCACAGCAGTCTTGGTTCCTATATGTTCTGCGCAGCACCAGATAAAAACAAGAAGAAGAGCAAGAACAAATTTTGAATTAAGAGAAAATAAACATAAGAAATAACTCTCTCTGGATTATATTCCAAGAGGACATATCCGTTGGGATCTAAACATGGATCCCAGAGATAACAAACATTCAATATACAAAATTTTAATTGGGGATCAATCTAAGTTGAAGTTGGCGCACAAAATCAGTATCGACCAAAGAATAATTTTTAAGTGTGCAAGCAAGTTGTAACCTTCGATACGTTGCCACGCTCGCCCATAGAGTTTTAAGGCCTCCAGAAACCTATTATGCTCCTCCTCTGTCCATCGTTCCCGTTGCTTGGTAATTGTATACGGTTTTCGTGTCTGCGATAGAAGGTGCAATCATAAATCATATGTATTCGGATTTATAGCCAATTAGTCCCCTAATAATATCTGTATCTATCTATCTATGTATGCATATATACAGATGTATAATTTTACCTTAATAACTAAATCTTCTCCAGAGGAGTAGGTGTCCATGTGATGGACCAAGGCAGCTGGCGCTGCTTCAGACCCTCACTGACAAGTAAGGGATAAAACAACAGCCTTCTTTCAGCTCTCGCCGCATCGAATGATACTAGAAATAGCTTAGCCGTGGCTGATGATGACAAAAACCTGATAACTTCCTACTAATACTACTACTGCAACAAAACAAACAAGTCGGTAGAGATCCTGTCTCTGTTTCGGAAAAAATAAAATCACTATTATTATTATTATTATTATTATTCTTGTTATGGTTGCTGATTATAATTCATTACCATATCCTACTCTTATCTGAATCCGAAACAACATATATATAAATAAAAATAAAAATAAAATAGAAAATAGAAAATTCCTAATTCAGGATCCTCACCAAAACAACAACGAAGTGGACCACGCCAAAACCTTTAGGATGAAAAAATAATCGATCGGTAATCAAGAACAAAACTGGAATGACCTCTCCGACTATCCACAATGCATCGGCAATCGCACAGACCTTTCAAGTATATCACAAATCAACAAACAAACAAAAAAAAAAACCCCTAAGAATCGGAACCGCACCTTCCGAAAAAGCCATGATTGTTGAAACTCCGATCCAGTATTCGATCACTCATGAGGCAAATTCATCGGATTCTCCCCGGAGAACATGAAGTTCAGAATCAGAGAAAATTCAACAAAAGAGCAGAGAAGCAGTAGCAGACGAGAAGAGAAACGAGTTTGCGGTGCGAGTGTTAAAACAGGCAAGTTTTTTTTTTTTTTTTTTGGTGTGAGGAATAATCTCAACCACTATTTTTTGTTTGGGGTTTGTTTTTGGAGTAAAATAGAAAAATAAAGGGGGTATTAATTTGAGGCTAGCATGAATCGAGGACGAGGAGAGAGACTGAAGGGTGGTGTAGAGAGCGAGGATGATGCCAAGTGGTGACATTTGAGTGGCCAATCCGTAAACTCCAGAAAGCCCACCTTGCACTTTTTGGAAAAACAGTGTGGCTGCGTGTGCTTAAATCTCGACCACAAACTGGCATTTGAGGTTAAAGCTCGAACAAGTTCCCTCTCCCTCTCTCTCCCTCATCCGAGGGTGTTTGGCAACTTGGTAAAGACCCTACGTCTCAGGTTTAAAATTTTTTAGATCAATTTCTTAGGCGTAAGGCAGTTGGTTAGGAGGTTAGTTTCAAGTTATTGCTATCACAGTGGGCAGTTATTGCTATCACAGCACTTGGTGTTGGCTCAATACTCTCTCGCTGCTCTAGTCCTGACTTAAGCAGAACTTGTCTTGGGCCCAATATTCTTCCGCTGTTCGAAGCGGAACTTGTCTTGGGAGGTAAAAAAAAAAAAAAAAAAAAAAAAAAAAAAGGAAAAAGAAAGAAGTTCGCCTCTCCCTGGTAATAGGAAGAGTCCAGTTCTGCCTCTTTATGGGTCCCACCTCATACGTGGCCTTTCACGAAACCGTCGGTACCTACTCATGTAGAGATGTAACCGGTTCGGCATTTAGGTAAAATTTTACACTGAATTATTAATGTTATTTTTATTATATTCAGAATTGATATAGATTAATTTTTTTACTAAATCGTACCAATTTAAATGGTTTTGTTTGATGCAGTTTAATCAATTTAAAATATTTCAAATTTAAGTTACTTTTTAAATTTATAGTATAATAAGTAAATTATATAAAAATATTGAAATTGAATTAAAAACAAATATATTCTGAAAATTAAAATGTTGACACTAAAGCAAAATTAAAATTTAAAACCATAATCCCATAAGGCTAAATCACAAATCTATCAAGTAAGTTAAAACAAAAAATTTAAAACATAAACATCTGCTATGACTATATAAGCATAGTAATAGCAAAATTTGACCAAAGCACATATGTGTCACGTCTCAAAATTCGGACGATTAAATATTAAATTAAAACCAAATCCCAATCAATATTCCATCATCTAAATCTTAGGGGTGAAACAAAAAAACTAAACGCCAACCAAACCATTTATCATAATTCATAACTAACCAATACCTTTAACATTAAAGTAACAATAAATAATCAAAATAACTTAAATAATATACGGTTACAAATCATGTCAAATTATCCCAATACTAAAGTCATAAAAAAAAAATAATAAATATATAAACTAATATCAACTCTAAACTCAAGAAAACAAAAGAAATCCAAGAGATAGGTCCAAAAACTATAGTTACTCCACGTCACCACCGTAGCCCCAACTAATCCTGCAAAGGAAGTTCAGCTGCGCTCAAACAGAACGCATCCGAGTTGCCAAGTGACAAAACGGGTCAGTATATAGGTATACTGGAATGAGTATAAGATTTAACACACACGTGTTCACCAGACACAAACAAAAATACATTTAATTCTTATTACGGGAGAAGATATATAGTTCCATCCGCACTGAGATGAATGGGTAGTTTCTCGAGATACGGTGGTATTTAGTTTCTTGCTCGTACACAACGAAATATAAATTGAGTATAAAATAAACAAAATAGAAATAAAAATATGGTAGGTCAACCCTGCATAAAAAAGTTAGTAACACCCACCATTCTGCACAAAAAAATAAAGTTAATATAATTTAATCCTAAGTAACTTGCTGAAGAAGTATAAAAATGCACCGTTTTATACTTAAAAAATTCGCATTGATCAAAACTTAAAAAATAAAAGTTGTACAGAATTAAATTTTCTAAAAGACAGTGCGAACAAATTTAATAGAAACTGAATAGGTTGAGAGAAAAACTTAATAAAAAATCCTAACCGAAATTCGATCGAAAAAAATCTGGAACTGAAAACGAAAATAAACTGCTATAAGATGTTTTTTTTCGGAAAAGTTTAAAACACGAAAAGTGTTCAGAATAATGTTTTACTTCAGTTTACGTAAAACCAATAAAAATGAGCTCGTTTCGTGGGTTAAAACAGCCTCTAAAATCTGCATTGTTAAAATGAATCAAAACTACAATAACCAAGATTATCCGATTATAAGTTTTAATCGATTTTTTTAATAAAAAGTTAAAACACAAAAGTTGTCTGCAATTACATATACATGCCTCTGCTCAAATTTCATAATTTTTTGAGGTCGTTTACTATTTGTCAACATGTACAAATCAATACTATTCACACTATACTAATAAACTCTTAATTAAATTCTTTTTACCTTAACTCCACCACTTCGGCCTCCACTTTCGGCCTCATGTGCCTCCCGTATACCTAACACCGCTCCGAAGCCAAACTTGCACGGGGATATCGTCCCGAGTTTGACCCATACTCCCCGGATGGTTAGCATATACGTACGCGCGTAAATCAAAACACTCATCTACTCATGAGAACGAGGCAACAATATACATATACAAAACATCTCACTCATGAGAACAACACAACAATGCCAAGCCTAAGACATTCAAATAAATCTCATAATCCTCACTTTTTTTTATACACTCTTTCTCACCATCACTCAAATAAAACAACAATCCATGGAGTCATGGTGGAGTATAAGAAATTTATCCATGGGTTCCTAATTAATTTTAATTTCATATAACCATGAGTGTGATTACAATCATAAAATAAATCCATATAAAACCCCTAAACCTGGCATACACAATTAATCAAAATAATTAAAATCAATCAATCAACTAAAAACTCTAAACCTTACATACACAACTAAACAAAATAATTAAAATCAATAAATCATCTCAAAACCCTAAACCTTACACACACAACTAATCAAAATAATTAAAATCGATCAATCATCTACATGTAAATATGAAATCAATTCAATATTAAATAAATAAAAAAAATAACGAATTAAATATAAATTAAGAAAAGTAAATTTTGTACTTACAATATTTTTTAATGATCAAAAACTTATTTAAAAAATTAATGCCATCAAAACAAAACACTAATATATTTTTCCTCCTTTCTCCCCGCTATCTCTCTTTTCTCCCGGAAATTCCTCACACAACACTCTTGATTTTGATTAATTTTTCTCTCCGTCTCTCTGGGTTGCCGTTGCTCCTCTCTTTCTTTTCTTTCTCTATAACACTTATAACCTAATATATTATTATATAACCTAATGATTATTATATTATATAATATAATACAACCTAAATAAATATATATATTTTATGTTATTAAATAATTACAACATATTTAAATATATTTTATAAAAACACTACATGTAACACCCTTTTTTTTTTTTATGTATATATCAATATATAAATATAAATATTCTGATTAATTATGTATAATTAAATACCACATTAAACTAATTAAATATCACATTAAATTTACATGTAACCACACAATTAATAAAGCAAAAAATAAAATAAGATAATAATAATAAATAAATAAAGACTTACGAAAAAATCAAAGTCGCTACAATATGAGAGACAAACTAACAACTTATCACATTGTTAATGTCTATTGTCAAATTTGGAATATTTAAGAAAAAAATAAACAATTCAGTAAATCAATTGAATTTTGTACTCAAGCAATTTTATTATAATATATATTATGTTTAATACGAGAAACTTTCGGTAGGTTTCGGTTTAATTCGATGCATAAAGTGTCTAAATTGGTATCAAACCAAAAATTGAAAAAAAAAAAAAATTTAAAAACCGTACAGACCGATTCATATTAAAAAATCGACCAAATATAACCGTTTCAGTTTGGTTCAACCGAATTTTTCGATTTTTTTGATTTTTCTTACATCCCTATGCTCATGCGAAAAATATTATTTACTCATAAAATTTGTGCACAAAAACTTCACACAATAGAGCTTGAATTTGTTAAAATTGAAAATTTTAATTTCAAAGATCTAAGTTGTTCTTCTTATATGATAAGCTAAGAATAATATGTATGCCAAAAAATTAAGTCAATCAGTAATGACATTATTAAATCAAATATATTATAACAAATAAACAGACTATTTTTTAAAACATTTAAAATATAGCGATAAAAATGATTTGATGGTATGATAATTAATTTTGGATCAAACATAATTTTTTGTAAAAATTCTAAGTGATTCGTGATTAGATCAAGATTAAAATATTCCACATCCCAATTATTCAAAACACACAATCTAAATTATCAAGCACTTACGAAAGTGATATACATTGTTATTTTTCTGAATAAACAATAAATCGACACAAACGATTTTTACGTGGAAAAAATCACAATTGAAGAACCTTCAATTGTAATAAAAAACCACGGGCGAAACGCCACTAATCATTCTACTACTGAAGAAAGAAAAATTACAAAGATAACACACAAATTACCCAACTCAGTCAATTTATCTTCAAACCTTCTGTAACTCTTTCACCACGCCTTCGTCTCGGAACTGATTGATCAGAAGTTGAATCCACAACTTCGTTTGTCGAATAAACGACTACGTACAGAACCAAACTCCTTTGAAACTCCACGTTTGAATCTTCGGAATCCACCGAAGAGAACCTTCTTGAATTTAAAGTAACAAACTCCTTGATATATATATCTTAGATCATGAGTGAAGAATTCTCTCAAAACATCAAGGAAAACTCACAAGACTTTCAGAACAAAACCTTAAACAAAACCCTAAGGCCCCGTTTGTTTAGGGTTATAGCAAGGGGATTAGGATTACTAATACCTTGGGACTAGTATATGTGGTGTTTGTTTTGAGAGATAGCCATAAGACTACTAATACCTTGTTTGTTTTGAGAGATGAGGAGGGTATTACTAATACCTTGGTATTACTAATACCCTTGGGGAGGGGATTCATAGTGAGGAGGTAGAGATGGTATT